GGACAGTGGGGGTGAGGGGTACAGTGTGAGATAGAGAGGACAGTGTGAGGATGCAGGGGACACTGTGGGGATGGGGGGGACAGGGGGGTGAAGGGGACAGTGCGGGGATGCAGGGGACAGCGTGAGATGCAGGGGACAGTTGGAGATGCAGGTGGGCAGTGAGGGGATTACACAGAGCTGGAAGGGATTTCATCACCCAAAGCGTTACTCATTCTGATCATTCTGATCGCATTTCGGGCGGCCAAAGAAGGAGCGCACGCCCTCCCCACCAGCCCTCAGGCGCTGGCCCAGGGGGATGTGGAGCTTCCCCCCCCACCATTGGTGAGCAGGAGCAGGTCTGGGACCCCCCAGGCAGGACTCCCCATCACAATCAGCCCTAGGATGGCAGTGGAGGCTCCCTGTGAGGCAGGAATCACTCCAAACTGGGACATTTCTTTTCCCCCTGGCAGGGGGGCTGCTGCCACCTCCTTAGCAGGTCACCTTGGGATTGCAGAGGGGTCCAAGGGGACCCTCTTGGGGCTCACCTTCTTCCCAGCCCACCTACCCTCCCTGGAGCAGCCCTCCATCCTGCTACAGGGGCAACTCCTGCTCTGCAGCCCCTCTCTTTGCAGGCTATGAACCTGGGGAGATCCTCCTCCAAGCTCAAACTGTTGTTTTGTAGGCAAAACAAATCTTTTCTGGAGTTTCTACATTCCTCCTCAAAATGAGGTATTTCAGTTTTTTCCTGGAATCCAAAATGCCTGTTTGTTTTCATTAAGCTGGGTTTTGGAAACTGCACAGACAGCAACACGCTGTGAAAGGGAAAGACCAGCAAGTGGTGGCTGAGGATGCTGAATGGCATCAGCTGGAGGTGGACATGAGGTACATGGGCACAAGCTGCTGCCGAGAGCAAGGACCATGTGTTTTAGCATGTCCACCCGTGCCAGCGAGGACTGGCTGTTTGATTTACATGTATAAGTATCACTTACTGGTTTTATTTTCCCAAGCGCTCCACGGTTGTGCTGAAGACATGAATGCTCGTGGCCTTTCCACTCCTCTGGGCAGCTGGACCAGCTGAAGCAGTTCCTTGGCCGTGGTTCAGCGGTTGGGTTTTGCCATTGTTTGAAATGCAGCCTTCAAGCAACGAGGTGGGTTCATACTGGTGAACGTCGTCTGTTCCCCAAAGGGCCATCAAAGCAGCAGCTCTGTGGATGGATGCAGAAGGCGACCGGTGTGATTTGGGGCGTCCTGTGCAGCATCTTCCCCAGGTGTGATGGACACAGTGTGGGACAGGACCACTCCTGCCCACAGGCTCCACTTGCAGACTTGGCCAACAAAATGGGTGGAAGAGATGGGCTGACCTGGTCCTATCAGCTGGTGGCAGAGCGACATGCCACCATGACTCCTCCATGGGCTACGGCCCCACTTGGCAGCGTTTCTTCTCCTCTTCTGGGATTGGCTTTTCCCCCATGGGGCCAGATGGTGGCCCTGGCTGGTCAGCAACTGAGGGCTTCCCAGCAGAGCCCCAGGCACCTGCATAGGACCCAACATACGCCATCAACAGCAGAAGGACATGGAGCTGTTGGAGCAGCGCCAGAGGAGGCCCTGGAGATGCTGGGAGGGCTGGAGCCCCTCTGCTGGGAGGGGGGGCTGAGAGAGTTGGGTGGTTCAGCCTGGAGAAGAGAAGGCTCCGGGGAGATCTTCAAGCCCCTTCCAGTCCCTCAAGGGGCTCCAAGCTGGGGAGGGACTCTGGATCAGGGAGGGGAGCCCTAAGAAGAGGGGGAAGGGTTTGACACTGCAAGAGGGGAGATGGAGCTGAGATGTGGGGAAGAACTTGTTTGGTGTGAGGGTGGTGAGAGCCTGGCCCAGGTTGCCCAGAGAAGCCGTGGCTGCCCCATCCCTGGAGGGGTTCAAGGGCAGGTTGGCGGGGGCTTGGAGCAACCTGGTGTGGTGGGAGGTGTCCCTGCCCAGGGCAGGGGGTGGCACTGGGTGGGCTTTAAGGTCCCTTCCAGTCCAAACCATTCTATGAGGCTATGACACTGCCTTCACCTTGGCCGTGGCTCCACCAGCAGCTTTCCAAGGCCGGGCCCTCATGTGCGGGCACCTCCGCGCCAGCCCCTGCCCAGGGCCCACAAGATGGCGGCCCCTCTCAGCCGGGCCCCGGCCCTCCCCGGCGCCAGTAGGAACCTTCGCGCAGCGGAACGCGCGGGCGCGGGGGGCGGTTTCCGGGCCGGGCCGGTGGGAGGCTGGGCCGGGCCCGGCCCCCTCGCCATGGCCGAGGGCTCGGCGGAGCTGGAGCTGTTTCGCCGCCGCTGGCGGGAGGAGTTGGCGGGGGGTGCGAAGCGGCGGCGACGGGAGGAGGAGAAGGCGGAGGCGGCGGTGGCAGCGGAGCAGCCCGAGAGCCGTCGCAGCGCGGAGCCGGGCGAGCCGGCCTACCTGGCGCTTGCCCGCGGCCTGCTGGATGGCGGCGGCGGCGGCGCCCCCCCGACCTGCCGCAGCCCCTCGCCCGCCCGCCCCGCCGAGGAGCCCGCGGGGGATGGAGGCGGCGACAGCGACGACCTGCTGGGGCAGCTCATCCGGGACCTGGTAGGGCTGCGCCCGGGGTCCGGTAATGGCCCCGGGGCGGGCGGGGAATGGGCCGGGGGGGGCTGCTCCTCGGTGGGGCGGCTGTGAGGGGAGCAGGGCAGGGCCTGTCTGTGGGATGGGGGTGCTGAGTTTGAGCTTCCCCTGAGCTTCTTTAGAACCTCAGCTTAGAATCACGGAATCACAGAATGGTTTGGGTTGGAAGGGACCTTAAAGCCCCCCCCAGTGCCACCCCCTGCCCTGGGCAGGGACACCTCCCACCACACCAGGTTGCTCCAAGCCCCCTCCAACCTGCCCTTGAACCCCTCCAGGGATGGGGCAGCCACAGCTTCTCTGGGCAACCAGAAAGCTTCTGAATATATTCAGTTTTACAGGGCTTTAGCACTCCAAATTCTACTTTTCTTGCTTTTTTTCCCTCTTAAAAAATATTTTGTTGCTTATTCAGGCCCTTTGATGCAGGTGCAGTAATTAAGGATATTCTGCACTGTAGTAAGAAAAGAAGTATTAATTCTTTAAATAAAGGAGTTAATTTGGAAATAGTTTTAAATACAGTTCTGAACCAGATAAAAGTTACTTTGATAACTCCTCTAAATGCAATAGAGATTTTATTTACAGCGTAGAAAAACTAGGGGGGAAACCCATTTTCTTGCTTCTCGCTAACCTAACTGTGACTAATTACTCTTTGCTTAAAAAAATTAAAAGGAGCAGATTAAATTTCTGTCTGCAAGGCACAAATTAATCCATTTACAGAATTAGTGCTCCATTAGCACACAGGAGCCCAAATCTGTCTCAGAGGGGATGGTAGTATTTGAGTTTTGGATTCATTCCAGTAGACTTTTAGACAGGCTGGTGCTGACTTCACGTTACGGCTTCGTTTGCAGCGGCGAGAGCTGCGCTGGAGAGAAGCTGCCTGAATTTTTGGGATGGAGGAAGGGAAGACCTTCGTCTGTCTCTAATGCTAAGGTTGCGTTAGGATGAAATGGAATTAGTGTGAGCCGTTGCTTGTGCTTTGTTTCAAGCTTGTGCTTATGGTTTGGCTGTAAATACTTCTGCAGATTAGTTAAAAAAATACATGTTTTTTTCTTGCTCCCCCACCCCTTTTAGCGAGGGAGCTGTCAGCCTTGACTGTTGTGGCTGCTGGTCTGTCTGTAGGCAGCTTGTCCTTCCGACAACACCTTTGGGTACATGCAGACAGACCAGGTTCTGCTGGTTGGACATGAGTCAACTCCAATTTGGAAGCGGTATATTCATGGCAGGGCTGTGCCTGAGCTCATAAGCCTGGAGCTAATAAGCCTTGCTAAGTGGCTCATCTTATTTGTTTGGGCAACGCGTGGCTCTGAAATGGTTATATGCGGCTCCTGGATCCAAGCTGGTTCACATCTGGCCAGCTTGAGGTCTGACTGCATGTGGCCATGGAGATGTGCTCTCAGAGCTCTTTTTATTTTTTTCATTTTTTGATTTTTTTTTTTTCTGTCCTTTTTGGAAATGGATGCAATTTAAATCGCATCAAAGCAAACAATCTTCTTGCAGATCCACAGCAGGGAGCGGAGCCAGTGGTCCTGGTGCAGAGAGCATGGAGGGGGGAAAGGAAACAAAAAGGGGCTGTTTGTGCTGGGGAACTTTGAGAAGGGAGAGAGTAGGAAGGTAAACAGGAGCTAGCGTAAGTCACTTTAAAATAAGTGCAAGGTATCAGTGTTTGTTTGCTTAAAAGGCTTAATGGGAACATTACCCATCTTTGTGCTGTCTAAATATTTTTATCTCCTGTGCAGCCTGCTCTGAGTGGACCTGCTTTGGCAGGGGGTTAGACTAGATGATCTCCAGAGGGCCCTTCCAACCCCATATCGTTCTGTGAATACTATTTGCATTAAAACCTTTCATGCAACCATATTATACAATAGTTTTTCTGTGTAACTGTACTTAAGTAAACCCAGCATATACCATTTGCATTAAAACCTTTCATGCAACTGTATTATAGAATAGTTTTCCTGTGTAACTGTACTTAAGTAAACCCAGCATTGCCTATTTTGCCACTTGGTTGGCACCACAGGTTTCAATGAGCAAGGAGTAGTTGTTGAGGAGACCTGCAAAAAAACAAAACCAAAGCAACCCCATGTAAGGAGATGGGGATGATCCTGACTTTCTGACAGCAAACAAAGGAGACACGTTTTAGCTGAGCAGCTGATTTTTGTGCTCAGGGATTGATGGAGAGTCATCAGGTGTTCGGGAGCACCAGGAGAAAGGAGCAGAGAGCAAAACTTCAGAATGGGTGACACAGAAATGGTCAGAATGGGCTATTTTACTCTCTCTCTGTCATACCTAGTATAAAAATTTGGAATAGCCAGACAGAAATGAGGGAGAGGACAAATCTTGATGCAATAAATTAATAATGTAATTCTGATTCTAATAACTACAGGAAGAAGATTTAATAATTATGTCATTAAAACAAACAAAAGCCTCTCCAGGAAGAAATACACACGCAGCATTTAGCTGTTAGCTAAGTGATGGATTCTTTGGTTTTACATTTTTTTGAGATACTTAATCAGTTAAACCACAACTCTTCCAGCACATTTCTTACTAAAAAGACAGTTTTATGTTACTAATGAAAGGCAGAAACAAACTGTAATGTCTTGCTCCATTCAGTTTTATATCAAAATAGTAATTCATTTTCTATCATCTGGTTTGAAATCTTGCAAGTGAAATTAATAATAATAGGAATATGTCTTCAAAGTGCTCACTTGTTTGGTCTTTTTGATGCTGGAACCTTAGAGAAACTTTTCTGCTGGAACTTGCGTCTTCTGTGCTGTCTGACTGGAGATAAGCCCTACAGTCCTCTTCAATTTGATTTTTATCTCCACTTAACCTTGTAATATGCCTTACCTGGTATGACCCAGGGAGGACAAAGAGTAGCTTGGGTACCCTCGTGCCAGGGTGGTCTCTCTGATGTTGTGCTGTCACGGGGTGGAGAGGCAGAATTACTTCTGCCTTTTTTAATGGAGCTGTGATGGCAACGAGGACACAACATCCTTTCTTCATACTATGGTAACTTTTGGTACTATCTAGCTGTGCGTTAAAGAAGCCTAACAAATTGCTTTCTCTTTTTTTTTTTTTTTTTCTTTCCAGAATGAAATAAATGAGGTTCCTTTCTTTGATATCCAGCTGCCTTATGAACTGGCGCTGAAGATATTTCAGTACCTGGGCAAGGCTGAATTGGGAAGGTGTGCTCAGGTAAGTGCTGCTGGCAGTTTGCTTCTCTGATACCTCGTGAAATTGGCAGAAATACTCAAGAAACAAGACACCTTGATGCAGGGAAGATCAGCCCTCCTAACCCAGCTGATCGTGCTTTTGCTTATTGGAAATACTTCCAAAACTGCATTGAAAAAATAATAGTAAATGAGCTGGACTCAGGCTTGCAGTTGAGTAGAGTTAAATAAAATGTTCGTGGCTTGGGCAAAAGCAAAGCCTTAAAATTTAAAATAAATACTGGCAAAGATCTTTTGATTCAAGTGAATGTATTTAGAAACAAGTAGGCATCTTGCTGTAATTTTTAGAACTTAACACTTTGCAGTGCTAAGGGCACAGCAAAAAAAGCTGTTTCCCCACACTTTTCGGTGTGTGACTTGAACCATAAAAATTGGAGCAGTAATGTTTTGTCTGCAGTAATTTCGCATGAGGCTAAATTCTTAAATGACACTGGATTCCACCCTCCCTCCCCGCCCCTGGCAAGGGTTTTATATATTTCAATGGTGATACTATTGCTTTTGTCAGTCTCTACTCAGATGTGGTCTATAATTTATGTGTGGTTGTAAACTGCCTGTCTCTTCGAGTAGCTTTACTAACTTAAACACTCACACACACCTGACTATACTTAGGGCTGTTCAGCCCACGTTATTGAGCCTCTTTCTCTCTATTCTTCACACATTGAATGATGAACCTCCTCTCGGAATGAGTCTCCAAAGCAAACTTAATTGGCAAGTACTGATTACCCTGGGAGGCAGAGTAGAATATTGTGGATATTCATTACCAGTTTCTCTCACGGGCACTATGTAGTGTTTCAGGCTGGTGTTCGTTGAACTTTTCGGTACAAAGCACGTCTTGCAATGCCACAAAAATCCAACCAAACCCATTCTTTGTGTTATGCTCAAACCATGCCCTGGGCTGTTTGTCAGAGAAAGCAATGTTAACTTGTAAAAACTGAGAAGTGACAGACAGGCTTTACTGTGGATGGTAAAGACACAGATATTATCTGAATGGCACACGCAATGAAGTGAAATTGGGCTTTTAATGCTCAGTATGAGTGAGTGAGAGTGTTAAATGGCTACAGGTGGTTATTGCTTAAATCTTTGACTTACTGATGCCTTTTAGGAACAAGGAGTGTTAGAAGAAAAACAGTTCCTCTTGTAAGGCTTCTGTTGCAGCAGAAAAAAATTCTCTGGGATCATTTTTTGGTGCTGTCCAGGAGACTGAAGCTTTCAGATACGCTCAAGTTTCTGTCGTTTGAAGTAGAGATATACTATCAGTAAAGGCTGCATCCCATGAAATGGAACAGGATCGCATCTTTGGAGTGAATTACTTTAAAGTTATTCTTTCTCTGTCTTTTTTTTTTTTTTTTTTTTTTTTTTTTTTTATATATTTTAAAAAAAAAAAAAAAAAAAAAAAAAAATTTTTTTTTTTTTTTTTTTTTTTTTTTTTTTTGCTTAGGCATGATCAGTTTACCTCATGGCACAATAAAAAGATTGGCTGATGAGGGGCCGCTTCTTTTCTCTGCGCTTGGGCTGCGCTTGATTTCTCTTGGTTTTTAACTTGAACCTGTTCTCATAAGATGTGTTTAACACTGAGAAGATTTTCCATTTTTCTCATTCGCCTTCTGAGAGCGAGTCAGTTGATCCTACGTGGCAGCTGACAGGTAGCTGAGCACATGCCCAGGCTTTTACAAGGCTTTCCGAGTGAGATGAATATCCAATGCTTTTAGTGCAGAACTGGCTTCTTTTTAAGTGTTCAAATAAAAAGCAAAGCAATAAAAATAAAGACTGTTTTCATTTTTCTCTTGGTGATTTTGTTTTTGAGGGGGGGAGAAGCCCTCCTCCGTTAAATGGAAAGCCCTGCTGCTTTACGGTGTGAGCGTACAAAGGTTTTTTTATTAAGGCGCCTTGGGATTTTAGTGAAATTGGGCCAGTTAGTGGAATTGGCATCATGAACTATGTGAGTGCCTTTGGAGAAAACCTGTTTGCTTAGTTCTTTATGCCAAATTGGTAACCAACTAACAGTAAAGTAGCCTGACTGTGGAGCCTCGTTGAGATTTAATCACACCACAGACTGCTCTGGAGAACTTTAATTTCACCCTGATAGGTTCCCCTCCCCCTCTTCCCCACAGCTTTTCTTTGATTTTTGGAATTAGTACTATAAACCACAACTATCCGTATGGCACTTGAAACACGAAAACCATGTGCAGTGTGTAAATTAATGGTGTCATCAGTTCCTGAGCTCGGGTGGGCTCGCTGTAGCTGTGCGATATTCAGCAGCATCCAGTCCCTGTTGGTATCCCATGGTTGTAATTCAAGGAGAAAGGTATCCGGGACGTAATGTGTCAGTGGGACAGTCCAGAGGAATGGCAAAATTTTCCCTCTGCTTTGTGCCAGCCCTGTGAGTAACTTTTGATTCTGTTCTGACCATTGAAAGAAATACTTATTCTAAGACCAACTCTCTTGTGACTTCTGTCCTTCCTCCTGATCGTGATGGAGATGGAAAAGAAAACCAATCACTTGGGACACCACTAGTGTGACAGATTGAAACGCATCAGAAATGTTAGTGTTTTTTGGGACTATTAATACCTGCAGTCCTTTAAACTCTCAGCTTTGTGATAAGGTGTAATCTCTGAACTTCTCCATATACTCACACTTGTTACCAGAGACTGCGTAAACTGCATTTTGGGATGTGAAGTACTTCTCGACAGTAGGTACTGAACTTTGGCAATGCCAAGGCAGTTTTATTTCCAAAGGGATCAGTAGGAAACTGCCTTGAACTGTTAACAGTTCCGTCTGAGAGATGGTTTAGAACTGTTTACTAGCACGACAATTGTGTATGTATCTAGGACAAGGGAGTCTGTTTCTAGGAATTGAAGAATTAATTGTCTTGCATAGATCAAGAACTTCAGATGCTTTCCTCCAGAGCTTCTGAAATTGTCAAACCGTTAGGCTTTTAGTGTTTATACATTTTAAAATAGAAAATCTCATGTATTTTTTTTTGAGCATACTTTTGCATCAAGGTGGTATATGGGTATAAGTAATCATCTGTAATCAGTTTAGAGAGAGAGAGCGCGAGCAGAGAAACAGACGGATAAGGATATCCTGGGCTCAGGATTAGACTTAAAATAACATTATGGCTGTGAATTGAAACGATGAGCAGCTTCCACCTGGTAAATGTGCATCTGGATGGCTTTGGATTAAATACTATTTGGCGCTACGTGTTGTACTGAATTGAAAGTCCAGATATTTCTAATTGAGGCCCCTGGCTTCAGCGAGTGAACCTTGAATGTGTCTTTGTGTGACTGGGGAAGAAAATAAACCTAATGAAACAAAGACAGTTATCAGATGGAGAGGGATGAATAAACCTTCATTAGGATTTGAGCCAGTTGATTTAGGCAGGATTAGAAGAAATTTAGGATTTGATGGAAGAGGTGGTTTGTGGCTTTTTTTTTTCTTCTGGGGGGAAAAAAAATAATATATCCCCCAAAGGCAAAACCAAATAGCAAAACCTATGTCAATGAAAGCCTTTGAAGTCCTTCAGAACATTATTACTTGCTGAACTATAAGATATAAAACTGTTCCTATGGGGAGCTCAGGGGAAACCAATGTTTCTTTGCTGAGAACAGCTGAGAACTGTAGTAAAAAGATACTGGGAAGACTCAAGACAAAATGAAATTGGGGGCTCTAAATTTATAAACAGCTCTTTAAGATGTTGTCATTGATAGTTGTTGGAGCTTCTACCTCGTATAGATTTGGAAATAATGATGTTTGTAGTTTAATAAGAGCTTTGCGTGTCTCAGCTACTCTCCAACAAGCAGAACCTATGGGTGCGTATAAATAAAGCTGTAACACTCCAGCTTTTGGGGCCTCACCTGAAACTCTAAGTCAAGCAGATCTAATAAAGCTGATTTGGAGCCAATGGCTGGTTTTAATGCGGCGGCTCACAGTGGTGCTGTAAAGTGAAATGCTCGAGACACTTTTATTAGAGATTTCTTGCAGCTGAGGCTCACTCAGTGGGGCTTTTACAAGGGATTGTCGTGCCAGTTTTGGTGCATTAAGAAAAGGCTGCGTTAGGGACCCTTTGGAAATTCAGGCTTGTAAAGCAGCAGGATTCAATGTAATTTGATTTAAAAAAAAAAAATCATAATAGGATAGGATCTTTATTCCCCTTGAATGCTTTTTTATGCAAGTTGAAAAGGCAGTCTAAATTTTATGTAGTGCCCCCCCCCTTTTATTTTTTTTTTTTTTACTGTCTTTATAATATGTTTTTAAGACCTTAAAAACTAGAAAGGTCTGTGCAACATTGTCTATTTTGGCAAACACCAGAGGGGGGGTGTGTTTGGGGTTGGGTTTTTTTCCTTTCTTTTTAAAATCAAGGCAAAAGTTGATGTAGTTCGGCTTTGTTTACTTCTGCTTGTGTGTGAGCCTGTCCCCTCAATGTCAGCAGAAAGGGGCTGCTGTTGTGGGAGGGGGGCAGAGGTGCCTTTACTGTCAACTGCCCAACTCCTCCAGAACAGCTGCTTTTTCAGTGTGTCAGCAAAAACACTGTGGTTTTTTTATTCTTTTCTTTTTCTTTTTTTTTTTTTTGACCAATAATACATGGATTTATATTACTTTTAAATCAAATTGAGAGCAAATTCCCCACTAAACTGTAGTGATTTGAAATTTGGGTTGCACTTTTTTTTTTTAGCTTTTGAACTTCCTGAGCATGTCCCTCTAGGGACAAGAACATTAAGCACTGAGTTTTTATTACAGGGTGATGTATATTCTTCTGCTGTTTCTGTCATTTTTAAGGCGTTCTGATTGCCCTATCTAGGTTGCTCTCTTTGTCTGAGGATGGAAAGGGATTGTGTGTGTCTGCTAGTTTGAATTGAGGACTAACTAGAATATTAGTTCTGCTGGTCTTGGATGTTCCTGTTTGAGACCTGCTCTTGTGTGTGGGTATCAAATCTTAAAAACATATGGACATTACTTGGTCCACCCCTCCTTTCATGGAATCTTAGAATTGTCCAGGTTGGAAGGGACCTTTAAGATCATCAAGTCCAACCATCAACCTAACTCTGATAAAAAAAACCCATCACTAAACCATGTCTCTAGGCACTATATCAACCCATCTTTTAAATACCGCCAGGGATGGTCCCTCAACCCCTTCCCTGGGCAGCCCATTTCAAGGCTTAATAACCCTTTCAGTGCAAAAATTGTTCCTAATACCCAATCTGAACTTCCCCCTTCTCAATTTGAGGCCGTTTCCTCTTGTCCCATCGCCTGTGACTTGGGAGAAGAGAACGACCCCCCCCTGGCTACACCCTCCTTTCAGGGAGTTGGACAGAGAGTGAAAATTTTTTTCGTATTAAACTTCTTTTTTTTATTATTATTTTTCCCTGTAAGAAACAGTTTATGAGAGAAATCTTACGATGCAGTTCTCAATTCCTGGTGGGATGTTGGTTTTTGAGAGCAGCAGGGATATACCTGTATCTTTACAGCAAGACCAAGAGGCAACACCATGTAAACAGGATGACCTGAAGTCTCACAAGTCTTTCATTGAGAGATCAGCAGGAGATACCTTCCCACCATTTAAAGACTATATAGTATGGGGGGAGCTTTGGGACCATGTAAAATGGTTTGGCACTTGCTGGGACTCAAGGAGACCTATAAGACATGGTGTCAATGGGCCTGACCTACCTTCTGGACCTTAACTGCTGTCTCCCTGCCACCTTTGGGGTGTTTCTCACTAGTCAGTCTTACAGACTCCTCAATTACTTGATTTATTTAAGGGAGGGTGGTTGTTTTCTATTCCTAACCTCTCTGTAAGCCTCACTGCACGCTTTATGGCTCCAACAGCTTGTCTTCTGCAGGGACTTCTTCCAAATCTGCACCAGCCAGAAGCATCTCATACTTTAAGTATTGCTTATTATATATGATTTTATGAAGCTATGCTTTCTAGTTGAAAGCTGTGGTTTTAAGAAGTCCGAAGCAAGATGTGCACAGCAATGATAAAATGCAAAGGAAATTAACCTTATAAAATAGCAAACAATTAATATTCATCTTTCACCCCACTGTGCCATGTTGTATCCCTGCGTAAACATGGAATGAATGGCAAGTAAACACAAAGAGATGCTTCTGTGAGAGTTTGTATCAGTGGGAGACCTGGATTCTTGGGGTAATCTTGGGACTGAAAAGGTCATTAGGTGCTTAATTGTAAGTTGTTAAAAATGATGTCAGTCTCAGAAGGTTGTTTTTTTTTTTTTAATCTTCTGGAAACAGTGTACAATTGATTGCTGCTTTCACCAGTAGCAGTTTTCATTGGTTACATCTGTTTTTTTTAAAAATTAAGAATTACAGAGAACAAATGCTATTTAAGTTGGCTCTTACCTCTTGAATCTTTAATTCGAAGCCCACAATTGATTATGATGAAGCTGTTCTCTCTGAAATGGGCAGCAACTAGAGGCTACTTGAAAAACTTAATAATTCATTCCTATTTATGCATACTGTAATACAATAGGTTATAAATCACTAATGTCATACACCTAATCAGGCATTGTCAGTAGGACCTTAGAGATACTGTGGTGTGATCCGAGAGGTTTTCTTAGCTACAAATATGAAAATAAATTCATGTTTTTGCTCCAAACTTACAATGCTGTCTTAATTGTTTTCTTGCTTCTTTTCCCTTCAAAAATTCCTTTTCCCTTCAAAACTTTCTGATGCACTTACATTTCAGGGTGGCAGTGTGGCCACAAAACACTGGCATCTGTGTTGCGTGGAGTTTTAGTGGAGTAGAAACTCTGTTATTTTCAAAAGAAACTACAGAAAACAAGAAAACAAGCATTTTGTTAAAGGCTTTTTTTCCACACTGTCAGTAGTATGTTTGTTTAGAAAAGAATTTAATCCCAGTGTAGGCTTGTATTGCTTTATATGTGTATATTTCAGGCATTATTTAGATAATTGGAAAGGAAAGTTAATTTTTGCTTATAACTTTATGCTATATATGTATATATAAATTTGATTTCTAGGTCAGCAGGACGTGGAAAGTCCTTGCAGAAGATGAAGTGCTGTGGTACCGGTTGTGCCAGCAGGAAGGATACCTGTTAGATACGAGCATTTCCGATCGTTCCTGCTGGAAGCTCGCCCTCAAGAACTGCCGGGCCAAGGAGCGCACTCTGAAAACCAACTGGAAGGTAAAAGGGAATTTCTTTAATGGGATCCAGATGCTGTAGAAAAATGGGAACCTGGTTCAAGCAAGTGGTAGTGAGAAGTTGGGTCTTCTGCGTTGCAGCTTCTTTTCGCCAGTTGAAAGGGGAAAGCTGCTGAAGGATTTATGAGACTTTGCCTTAGCTGTAATACCGTTTTTTTTCCCAGTGACTGATTACTTTTGGGAGCCAGACTTTCTGTTTGCTCTGCTACCCCATTGATGTGGTGAAGGAGAGGTGGTTTTACTTCGAGCATCCCATGATAATGAGAATCAGCCTTAAAAAGGAAGGCTCCTTCCCCTCCTCATTACATATCCTCTCTACAAGAAATCCATCTGGGTTTTTTTAATGGTAGTTGGTTTTCTATCTAAAGATTATGAATGATAACAAAGAGTGATAGCTTCTTTCTCCTCCATTACTGTCTGTAAAAATTCCAGGAGGCAAGCATAAAATAGATTATAGAATCATAGTATTGTCTAGGTTGGAAGAGACCTTTAAGATCATCAAGTCCAACCATCAACCTAACTGATTAAAAGACCCATCACTAAACCAAGTCACTAAGCACCATGTCAACCCGTCTTTTAAATCCCTCCAGGGATGTTGCATCAGCGCCTTCCGTGGGCAGCCCATTGCAAGGCTTGATGACCCTTTCTGTGTAAACATTTTTCCTAATATCCAAGAGGCCATTTCCTCTTGTCCCATCGCCTGTTCCTTGGGTGAAGAGAGAGGCCCCCCTGGCTACACCCTCCTTTCAGGGAGTTGGAGAGAGCGAGAAGGTCTCCCCTCAGCCTCCTTTTCTCCAGGCTGAACACCCCCAGCTCCCTCAGCCTCTCCTTACAAGACTTACTCTCCAAACCTCTCACCAGTTTCATGTCCCTTCTCTGGATGTGCTCCAGCACCTCGAGGAGCTTTTCTCTCAGCTGCACTGCGACTTGTCAGTAGCAATAGCAAAGCTCAGAGTTTTCCAGGACACAGCAAATTAACTTCTTCCATGAATGTATTGTGATTCCAATGCCATGTCTTGTGTGTCTCTCTGTGCAGAACCGCATCGGTGCTGTGAGCCAGCTGCAGTACGAGCTGGGAAAAATCCTGTGTGATGTACATTCCTGCGATGGCGTAGTCATTGCTGGGTGAGTGTGAGGTTGTGTTATGTGTGTTTAATCCTCCCTGTTTGAGATCTCCTCTGCTGCTTTCTGACAAATTCAAAAGAAGCAGGTGTTTGAGGCAACAAGAGTGAATTCTTCTGACTGCAGTTCCTTTGTGGGTGAGGTAGATTTTCCTGAAAGTGACTGGTAATTATGGGTATCTACAAGTAATTTCAGCAGTACAAATTTTTATCATACTATTCAAAAACCTATCTCAGGTGCATATAGTCCCTGTAAAGATTACAGGACTTTCTGATGGACTGTGTCTATTGTTTTGCTGTGGAAGCATCCTGAATGTATTAAGTACTGTACACATCTATTGAAAAAATGTTCTTTTTATTATTTTGTTTTCCTGTTAATCTGTTTCCTGTAAAAATCTGTTAATCACAAGGATGTTTTTGTGTGCTGTGGCAAGAAAGCTTTAGAAAGACTTTTACTTGTCTCCATTACTATTTGAAAGACAATCTGGGGAAAAGAAAAACCCACCCAAAAGAGATACTCAAACTTCTCTTTTCCTAATATAAAGCTTTGTAAGGACCTTGATTTATTTGGTTTACACTCTTAAATACAGTTTTGAGGTCTTCCCAAACTCTTGGAGGCAGTTACCATGACTGTCTCAGTAGGTGGAAGGCTTTACCGTATTGTGCTTGAATTTTTCAGGTTCAGGAATTAGCAGCCCTCCAGAAGTCATCACATGAGTAAATAAAACTGATACCATCCTGGGGGCAGTCAGGGGACAGTGTTAGTTAATTTACCAGACGTCCATGTTTTATGGTATGCTCGTGCATTGTGGGATTAGAGAAATCTACTTATAAAATACTATAAAGTTGACACACATTATAAGAATAGCGCTTTGAAATCCATTGCCTGTGGATAACTCCATACACATTGAGATGCTCTTGAATGTTCTTGGGGAACTGAGAGCAGAAATCTAAACCAGCAATTGGCAGGAGTGAAAGGGGAATCTTAATCTTTGATTGGTTTGGTTCGATGTTTGTTTTTTTTACTAGATGCTCTTCCACTTGCTTTACTTCTGCGTTTGGAGGTCTCCCTTTCTATTCTCTTCCATCCTGTTCGTTTACTATTTCTTCTCTTTCTCAGCTTTCTATGTCCTGTTTTTGCTGCTGTGACCTCTAGAGGGGCAGTGCCACACAGTGGTTAACCTGAACAGTGGCCACGGGAAGAGCCTTGAAGAATTCCTCTGGCCATAGGACAGGTCTCCTGCCTGGTGCTAGGTCTTTCTTGGGCCACCAGCAAGACACTGGAGCTCCCAGTCTGCTGTGGTCTGCAGCTGGGATGTGTCTCTGCAACCTGATTTCTCTGGTGTCCTCCAGCTTGGGCAGCGCGTTTCCTGGCCCTGGCTGGGGATCAGCACTACTGTATCTGTTCCACTCTTGCTAATGAAACCTCCTGGACTTTTTTGGGAGCCAGAAACCCCAGTTGTCTCCACGCTGCTGCCAAAACCTCCAGCTCTTCTTTTTCTTCATTTTCTCCATCAGGTTCATATCCAAACATGCAGTATATAGATAGTAGGCAGAATAAATTAAAATTCTAAAGAATTAATAAAAAAAGGATATTAATCCTGCATATTAAGCTCAAATAGTCCATATTTTATCTTGGTGCCTTATGGAAGCTGGGTTTATGCAGTTTCATACAGTCTTTTCTTATTGGTTCCCCAGTTCCACCAGTATCTCTTGATTCTTTTGGTGAGTTTGCATCACTTGGCATGGTGAAGGGAGGCGGTGCCATTAAATAATTGATGTTCCTGAAACGTTCATTAAAATAGGTGAGCAGGTAAGAGACCTCTGAGGCAAAGCCACACATGCATATCCATTAGGAAAAGTGATGTTACCTGTTTCACTCCAATTACTTTTCAATAATTTCCCTTCTCTGTGAAAATGAATTTTAGTAATGAAGTATCTTTTGATTAAGCTATGAGCATATATTTGATAAAACAACACAGGGAAATCAGAATTCAGCTGTTTGACTTTACCTGGTTAGTAAATGAAATGTGTAGAATATAACACAAAAGTTAGATTATTTCCTTTGCTGTTTACTACTTGCCCTTCACTCTGCTTTGGTAGCTCAAGATCTCTGAAATCATCTCTTAAATTGCTGCAAGTAGAAAAGTATTCTGTGAATCTTGCCCAAAAGAAGGATAATTTGTTGTTCTGCCAGTGATGATCAAAGTCTGCAAGACAATAGCGCACTGTCGCGCCTCCTAATAATATCTCATGGTAAATACCAAACAAGATAGACTTAAAGTTTCAACTCAAACTTCCAAGGACATTAGGAAAGGGTGCAGGGAAATACTTTGTTTGTTATAGAATCATAGAATGGTTAGAGTTGGAAGGGACTTTAAAGATCATTGAGTTCCAACCCCCCTGCCCTGGGCAGGGACACCTCCCACCACACCAGGTTGCTCAAAGCCGCGTCCCGCCTGGCCTTCAACTCTTAATGTACATTTGGTAAGTATTTAGTATAGGTAGAATGAGGAATTTGCTGGGGTTTTGTTGTTTGTTTTTGGTTTTGTTGGGTTTTTTAAATCCAAACATAACCCTCCCCTTTCTCTCCCAGCTTATAGTATTGTACTTAATGGCATTGTGCTTTCAAATTTGTCATAAAAGTGTAATGAATCTGGTGATCAATAGCTGGCTGTTGCGTTCTTTCAGTACCAAAGAAGTAATTTAATAGCTGAGGTTAACAGAAGTCAATTTTCTTCTCCGTATAAATATCAATTATCTGTTACATTTAATGATTATATCTCCAGTTTCGCAAACACTTATGTGCTTTGCTTTACATGTGAATAATCATAAATTACAGCAGGAATTACCATGTGTGTGAAGCTAAACTGATGCGTGACTGCAAAACTTGAGAAGTTGGTGATGATCTGGGCATTTTGCAGGGTTTTCTAAGCAGTGGCCTGTGGCATCATTTACCTTTCTTCTCTGGGCAGGTCGTTGTGCTGGAGGAAAATGGGGCCACTTGTTTTTTAGCAGGTTTTTTTGCTGCCTGACTTCGGGGAGCAGCTGGAGCGCTTGGGCAGCGCAGCCAGGCATTACGCTGCCTCGATAGCTGGAACCCGCGGCACTGCATAGCAGCTGCTCCCTGGCTTCAGGAGGTGCAACTCAGGACCTTGGGAGATCAGAGAATAGTTAGAAAAATTAAAAAACGGGGTGGGGAGAGAGGTTCTCCAGTGTATTTGGGGTCTTGGACGAAGCCTGGGAATGGTCTTCCTTGATTTGAACCTCTGCTATGATAGATCTGATCTTGTGGTCTTCACTGTACTGTTTCAGACTCTGCTGGGAAGTGGAATGATTTTTATTTTGGCTGCCGTGGAGCTTTTTTTCATCTTTCTGAAAAGGAATTTGTACTGGTTGTGAGCAGGGCAGCTTAAAAAAGCAGAGACACACATTAAAAACACATATAGACATCGTTTGCCCGAACTGCTTCGGGAGCGGATCTCTCTGTTACCTTTTTGTAAGGAACCAAAGAAAAACTATCCAGGCTTTGCTCTCCCTTAGAGAAATGTACCTATTTTGTGCACTCTCCCCGATTTTTCTCCACGCTGCTGCCAAAGCTCAAGCCAGAAGATGGCAGAATATCAAGGATTGATTAAGTGCAACCTGAGCGGAGCGCTGAAGGTGGCTGCGAGCGGCTCCTCTTTCTCCCAGTGCCTTGCATTTACTGCCTGACATCAGATAATTCAATCTGGCCTGCACGCAGAGCATCTTGTGTTTATCATTAAAATTTCATCCCCGCGGTTACGATGCTTGTTTTCTGGGTCAGACCTTGAATCCCTTTTCATTTGAGACAGCGGTGTTTGTGGTTACCTCACTCCCAATCAATGTTGTATTCGCCAGCCTTTCTACGGTTACATGTCTCGAAGGATCTTCTTTAGAGGGATGTTGTCCTCCCCCCCCCCCTCCATATTCAATTCAAATGTAGTTTCTTCTTTAAGTCAGGGCTTACTTAAAGCAATTATACGTCTGCTCGCTTGGCTTTCATAAATTACTGCTGATGATTAGGTTCCACTGTAGCTAATACTGTCATATGTTTGGTTTCAGTATGGAATGCTTGCATTTCTTCACCTTCTGTTAATAAAATCTTAAACATACCTCTATTTTTTTTATTTTTAATTTTTTTTAAAGCATGTTCAGATGATAAAATTGCTGCTTTCTCTTCCTCTTTGGCAGTGTTGGAGCCACGCTGATGGGTGTAGTGGGAGGTTAGGTCCTCCCGGAGATACTGATCTCGGAGCGCGTGTCTGGTGCTTGTTTGCATGGTGGTGTCATTGTGCAGTGGATCCTGTGGTGTGACACGTGTGTCACCTGTTGTGAGGCTGTTTTGCCTCTGACTGACTCTGTGTGAAATACCACACGTGTGGCTGTCGTTGGGACCGCGCAGTAGACTTGGCCTGTGTCAGAGGTGATCCTCTCACCTCACGACTCGCCCCCTAAAACCACCCCTGTGAGTCAGAGCTGTATTTTATTGTGCACTATATTATTTTTTTTTTATGCCTGTGGCAAGGGCGCTGTGGTTTTACTGCTGCTGGTTGTAGCTCTGAAGGCTTCCCAAATGAAAGTAAACAGACGGAATCCGGTCAGACCACCCTTCCATATGTATAAAAGTATCTAATTTTTCTTTCTTCGGTTTTCTTTGACCAAAAAAAGAGTTGTAGACTGTTAGTTAAGGGCTTGCATAAATAGAGATATAAGAACTGTGCCATGGACACGGGTCCAGCAGATGCTGCCTGGAGTCCTGCACCCCGTATGGACTCAGCAGGGAATCAGCCCTCGCTGCTTCTCCTTAAAATTTAACTTCAGAGGTTTCCTCCCTCTCCCAGTAAGTACCATCGTCTTTCCTAGAGGTTTTATTTTCATGAGTTAGGGCTGGTAAGGTTCATTGGCTCCGAGTACCTCGATAGATCTACAGATTAATGCTTCCTCCCCTTTCAGGGTGGAGCACACCTGGCACAGATGGTA